TTTTTTTTTTTTTTTTTTTTTTTTTTTTACAGTAGAACATAAAATCTCATTAATAATAAAGAATTATTCTAAATATATCCGTTTCTATTTATATATATTTTTACGATACACATATTTATAAAATTTGTAATGTCAAAATAAAAAAAAAAAAAAAAAAAAAAAAAAAAAAATATATAAATTTATATCTTATCTAAATATAATAATATATATTTCTTAGAGAAAAATATATATTATGAGATAGTGTTATTTTTTTTAAGAATACGAAAAATAATTAAATTTTTTTTTTTTTTTTTTTCCTTTTTATTATTAATTATTTACTTATTCTATTTAATTCATTTATTTTCTCTCATATAATTATATTATTCTTTCTTTTTTAATTATTCATCTTTTTGTTTTTATTAATTATTTTTTTTTTTATTTAATTATTCTTTTTTGTTTTTATTATTTTTTTCATTTATTTGGTTAGTATTTCTTTTTTTTTTTCATATTATTAATTTTACTTTTCCTATTTATTTTTTTAATAATTATTTTCATTTTTTTCATTAATCTTTTTTTTTTTTTTTATATATATATGTTAATTATTTACCTTTTTTGTATTACTAATTATTTTATTTATTTTTACTATAATTTAAATAACATAATAATAGTTTTAATGTTTTTCGTATTTTTCTGTTGTTATTCATATTATTACTTTAAGATTAAAAAAATATATATATTATTTTTGTTTGTTATATATTTATAAGAAATGACAACTACGACTTTCTTAAATACATTACATATTTTATTTTAATGTTTGTTTTTATAATAATTATTTTTATTAATTGTTTAATTAAAATATTCTAAAATATATATTTATATATACAACTTTCTAATGTGAAAAAATATTTTCATAATACTAGTTATTTATATTTTACACAAAAAAAAAATATATAATTTTACAGCTATTATTATTTTTAGTATCCCTTTGTTTTTATTAATATTAATGTATTTTTTATTATATGAATTTATTTTTTTTTTTTAAATATTTATAAAATATTTAAGATATAATTTTTATATATAGTAGAATATATATTTACATAAACAAAAATAATTGATTTTTTACAATGCATATATATATATATATTTTCTTTTTTTCATTTCATATTTTATTTAATTTAATCAAATAATTCACTTTTCTTCAAGTATATATTTGTATTACCACTTTTTTATTTTATTATTATTTTATGTTTCATTATTTATTTTTTTTTTTTTCTTAATATAGTATGTTGTTTTTATTTTGATATTTAATTTTTATTAAAATACATTATTCTTTTTCATCTTTTATGGTAAAACTATTTTTTTTTTTTTTTTTTTTTTTTCTGTTAACTTTATAAAGAGAAGTAAACAAAGAAGTTTATATATTAATGTTTGTTTACTTATTTATTTTTTTTTTTAATATTTTATATTTTAAATTTATTTTAGAATTTTACCATTAATTTAAAATAAGAAACAGGTAAAACATGTTTAGCCGAAGCAAAATAAAACTTATATTTATTTATAAAAACAAAAATATATTTATATAGATAATTATATATATATATATATATATATATATATAATTATCTATATAAATATATTTTTGTTTTTATAAATAAATA